TTGAGCTTGTCTTTTGTATGTGCTCTCCTGAATTACATCTTCCTATTTTGTCATTTTTTATTGGATTTTACAAATGCACGTGTCCATGATGTTGGGGGAGGGGGCCACTTCTACACTGTAGATATCTGAGAAATACTTGTGTGGATAACAGCAGCTGATATATTCATCTCCAAATGACCCAGTTCCTAGTTACACTAGACTGACATGGTTCTATTTTTGTATTTGACACCTCAAGTTCTGCGAGCACGGAGGAGTCCAGAACACTGACTAAGCCTTGGTAGGGCTCGCGGGGAGTGCTAAAGGACAGGGCAGCTGGCCTAGGAAAGGCGATGAGTCACTCACCCCCTCCTGAATTTTCCCCTCAAGCCTGCTGCCCTAGGATTCTCCAGAGAGATTAAAAGGCTCAAGGCAAAATGGATTCAATGCACAATTTTGCCTCAGGTAAAATGTGGGAGTAGCAAATTGGATGACTTTTTACAGGGATCCTATAAACTCTTTAATAAAAAGATAAAGACAAGAGCATTCGCTTCTCCTCTACACCCAGGTGTCTCCCTGAGTTTAAGAAGGACATGGGATATTTGAACCAAAACTAGCATGTATTACTATAACTGAAACTGTTACTAACCACGACCTGGTCAATTATGTCCTCTGAGTGAAGTCAACGGAGCTCAGTAGGTCTGAGCTCGTCTGTGGGTCAGAGTCCTAGGCTCAAGTTCAGCTTCTGTCACTCACTTACGTGTGCCCTTGGGTCTGTCTCCTTTCTCTCTTTCAGCCTCACGGGGCTCATTCTCAAAGGTCTGTTGTGAGGAATGAAATGAGATAATACATATGGAAAAGGCCTTGTCTGAGTTCCTGGCACAAGAAAGCCATCACTGATGGGCCCCAGCAGCAGGAAGGTGCTGGTGACAAAAACAATAACAGGAAGTGGCCACTTCTTGACTTAGGACAGGCGCTCCTGAGGCATTCTTCTCCAGGATTCCTCACATAGGACAACCCACTGTCGCCAGCCTTGGGAGGTATGAATGGATGAAGGATGCACTGCTTTTTGGGGAACTGATCAGTGGCAGGAGGAGGGGCACAGTAAGTTACAATACTCAACTCTTCCTATGCACTTCCTTTAGAGTTAACATTAAACCGGTTCCTGTTTCACATTTTACTATCTGTGTAGACGTGAGAGAGGCACTGACACACAGGCTCATTGCCTCAGTGTCCTCATCTGTAATTCTGTAATAGGAACAATAAGAGTGACTCCTAGAGTTCTGTGCCATAGAACTGCTATGAGGAATAAATGTGATCATATAAAGAGAGCTTAGATCTGAGTCAGGCACCTAGAAAGCATTCTGTGATGAACTGTTAAACAATTTTTCTTTTTTTAAAAGTACCCCCTAAAGGGGTGCCCGGGCTGGGCAGTCAGTTAAGCACCAGACTCTTGGTTTTGTTCAGCTCAGGTCGTGATCTCAGGGTCCTGAAATGGAGCCCCGCGTCTGGCTCTGTGCTCAGTGTGGAGTTTGCTTGTCCTTCTCTCCCCTTCTCTGTCCCTCCCCCCACCCCTGGCGTCTCTCTCTCTCTCTCTAATAAATAAATAAATCTTTAAAACAAAGAATAAATAAATAAAAAGTACCTCCTAAAAATAATAAATAAATAAATAAATAAATAAATAAATAAATAAAAACTACCTCCTGGTTTTCCCCCTTTGTCATTATCACTTGCCCTCAGGCTCCTTGGCTGCCTTCCTCTTCTCCCCAGTGTCTTAAGGTTGGGCTGCCCTAGAAACCAGTTCCTGGTCCTGTGTACTGGCTTCTTTGATATATATTCACTCCCTTGACCATCCTGTCCAGTTTCAACGCTTCAAATGTCAGCTCTCAGCTGTCTCCTGAACTCCAGACCCAGTACCCTGCTGCCTACTCATCCCCCTGCTTGCACGTCTAATCGGCACACCTAAGCTGGCATGCTTGTAACCAAGTCTCATCCCTTCATCCACACCCTTCCCTTTTCATGTGAGGGAAGTCTGTCCTCCCAGCCACTTGGACCAGAAGCCCTGGAGTCCTCAGGGATGGCTCTTTCTCTCACACCCATGTCTAACCCACTGGGGATCCTGTAGGAGTCGAGGATCTCATTCCTTCTCAGCACTGGTCTGCTTGGTGACTGCACTGGTCTCCACACTACATTTCCCAAGTCTATCCTGTCCTCTTAGCAGACTATTCTTCAGTGTCCAGGGTGATTCTTTTACAAAGTAAGTCAAAAACACATCAGGCTTCTGCACAGAACCCAAAGGCTTCCATTCCACTTGGAGAAGAGCCAGCCCCTACATGGGCCTGTGTGGCCTTATACTATCTAGGACCCTAGGGTCTCCCTCACTGTGTTCATCCCCATCCCTCCAGCCACACTGGCCAGGAACATACTGCCTGCATACCTTTGGTCCTGTCAGCCCGGAATGTTCTTTGGCTTAGCTAATTCCTTCACTATCCCCCACAAGCCTTTACTCAAATGTCATTTTTTTCACTGTTGCCTTTCATGACAATTCTATTTAGAACTGCAACTCCCCCTCACTCACTATGCTGCTTCTTGATACACAGCACCTTTCACCTTCTTATATACTCTGTAATTTACTCAGTTAGCATGTCTAGTGTCTAGCATCTGCCATCCCCTCTGGGATCTAGGATGGGGATATTTCTGCATTTTGTTCACTCATGGATCCTAAGCCCCTAGAGCACTGCCTGGCACATAGCAGGAGTCTAATACATATTTACTAAATGAGTATCTGCAAAATATAATCTCCTAAGGGCTGGCTTAGTAACTTAAAGAGACTGATTGGCAAAGTCAGGATCTTGACACAGGCCCGTGTTCTTCCTACCACACTTTCTGCCTCCCGATACTAAGCATGTGTTCACGCATCCCAGCATTTCAAGGGACACACTGCTATGCAGTCAACTAATGTCACACTGCTGTTGGAAGGTCGTCACACAAGTAGCATTTAACGAGTACATTTCCTAGGTCAGAGAGTTAGACAAATGACAAGGATTAGCGAGTTCAGTTCCTAAGTTTCCAGTAGTAAGCTTAGATCACTAAGCTGAGTTTCCTTAAATAAAAATGCCTGCGTGTGGGCCAAGTGACCAGATTGGATTCCCTTAGGCCCCTGCACAATCAGGTGACACCAGGAAGCAGCATTTTCCCTGACATCATAATTACCAAAGCTGCAACACACCTTCACCACTTGGCCTCTTGTGGAAGGCATCCGTTATGATAGCCTGAACGATCTTGTCTCCTCCCGGTAACCAGAGAGACTCTGCTGGGAGACAGAAGCTTACTCACCAGGATGAAGACAGTAAAGAATATGACAACAATGGCCGCTGTAATGAACAGCTTCTTCCGGGGAAACACAGCAGCCGGGAGGAGAAACACCAGCGCAAAGCAGATGGCACCTCGGAGCCCTCCATAGGCGATGATGAACTGGTCCTTAAAGGTCAGGGGGATCGTCCGGAACCAGTTGATGACCTGAGTCAGGACAAAGACACCTGAGGACGAAAAGCAAAACCAGAGAAAACAGACTGTGTGAGGCCAGAGCATGAAACTAGGAAGGAAGACTCATTCTCGGTGCTTCTGTGACAGGGAGAAGTGTCTAATAAGCCCCACAGTCTTTCCCCTTTTCCTCTGCTCTCGGGCATTCGGTGTTCGGGGATAACGGCTGAAAATGTGAGCTCAGGGAGGCCAAGAGACATCAGTGTGACTTATGGCAAAGTCATGAAGGTATTTGGGGATGAAGAGAATCCATGAGGAATGGGGGAGAGCGGGGGAGAGGGAGAAGCAGATGAAGCAGCAGCAGCCAAGGGGAGGGATGGGAAGCAGCAAGCCCCATTCTTCTAGTAAGTGCTGCCGAATATTCCTTCGGGAAACAAGCACCATTACCCAGCGCTCGCCAGATCAGACAGAAGGCAAGAGTGAAGCACACGAAGGCCCAGTTCCACTCATGGTTCTTCCCAACGGTGGACACGCCCATGAAGATGAAGATCAGGGTCTCACTGACGCTGCTCAGCATCTTCATGAAATACTTGATGGTGGTGTACGACTTCTGAGATACGTTTTCTTCCACATACTTATTCATCGTCATTGCACAAGCAGTGATTCTGCAAGGAAAGATATAGCTTGACAACAATCCTAATCAGAATAGAAGAGTCAACACTTAAGAGCTGAGTTATGGCTCTACCCTTCTTCCCAACACTGTAACATTACTGATTGATTTGTATAAGTGAATGTGATTTGCATCATTGGACCCCACTATCTCTGGAGGTCTTCATCAATACCTATGGCTTGAACTTCTCTGCTCTGCCCAGCTTTGTAGTCTATGGGCATCGGCACCTGTCAGCATCACAAATAGAACAGGTCCACAATATATTCAAAACCCACTATCTTCCTATAAAACCAGTTTTGTTTTCTCTATTGCTCTAGTGCCTAAAATGCTAAGGTATTGCCTACAATGCTAAGCTTGAAACTGTAGTCTCACTGGCCTTCTCTCCCTGCCACACCTCCTCCATGCCCCCCACTCCACCATCTCATTGGTCACCAACTGTTTTCAACCCCTCATTCTGAGTATCTCTTGGACCTACTTACTCTTTCTTTATCCTAATGCCTTAGTTTCCACTTCTGGAAAATTCACAACATATTTATAGGCTCTGAGATCACCTAAAGAACAGACACCCCTTTTCCTGTTTCCCCCAAAATCTTCAAAACTCTGGGACCACAGAGCTCTGGTTTCCCCTCCAACGATATCTATTTTAATAGAGCACATGCGCACACTCTGGTAAGGGAAGGGCTCTAGGGTCAAGTCCGTGCTCCTAAGCTGGGTGGCTGAAGCTCTTTACACTCTTCACTCAGTGGACAGATCCAGTTTCACCTCCTATCCCCTCTCCACCCAGTATACACCATATGCTTCGACTGTGTGTAATTTCCCCAACATACCCTGCTCTTTGCTATCTTCTTGCCTTACTGTGTGCATAAGCTCCTCTCTGTCTGAAATGCTACCCCTGCCCATCTCAAATGCCCCCTCAGAGGGAAATTCAGTATGAACTGGGTGACAGCTCATCCTAGGTTCCATCTGAAGAGACACTGATACTAGACATCAGCTGTAGCAACATTTTTCTAGATATGTGTCTTGAGGCAAGGGAAATAAAAGCAAAAAAAACCCACAAAAAACTGCTGGGACTTCATCAAAATAAAAAGTCTCTGCACAGTGAAGAAAGCAATCAACAAACCAAAGGACAACCTACTGAACAGGAGAAGATATTTGCAAATGACATATCCAATAAAGGGTTAGTATCCAATATATATAAAGAACGTATACAACTCAAAACCCAAAAAACAAATAATCCAATTAAAAAATGCTCACAAGACATGAACAGACATTTCTCCAAAGATGACACACAGATGGCCAATAGGCACAGGAAAAGATGCTCAACATGCCTGATCATCAGGGAAATGCAAATCAAAACCACAATGAGATACCACCTCACACCTGTCAGAATGGCTAAAACCAAAACCATAAGAAACAACAAATGTTGGTGAGGATGTGGAGAAAGGGGAACCCTCACGTACTGTTGGTGGGAATGCAAACTGGTGCAGCCACCATGGAAAACAGTATGGAGGTTCCTCAAAAAGTTAAGAATAGGGTGCCTGGGTGGCTCAGTTGGTTAAGTGACTGCCTTCGGCTCAGGTCATGATCCTGGAGTCCCAGGATCAAGTCCCCCATCGGGCTCCCTGCTCAGCGGGGAATCTGCTTCTCCCTCTGACCCTCCCCTCATGCTCTCTCTATCTCATTCTCTCTCTCAAATAAATAAAATCTTTAAAAAAAAAAAAAGTTAAAAATAGAACTACCCTATGATCCAGGAATCGCACTAGTGGGTATTTACCCAAAAAATACAAACACACTACTTCAAAGGGATATATGCACCCCTATGTTTATAGCAGCATTATTTACAATAGCCAAACTATGGAAGCAGCCCAAGTGTCCATCTATAGATAAGTAGGTAAAGAAGATGTGGTATATACTTAAAATAGAATATTATTCAGCCATAAAAAAGAACAAAATCTTGCCATTTGCAATGACATGGACTGAGCTAGAGCGTATAATGCTAATAAGCAAAATAAGTCAGTCAGAGAAAGATAAATACCATATAATTTCACTCATATGTGGAATTTAAGAAACAAACAAGCATGGGTGATAGACACTGGGGAGGGTACATGCTCTGTTAAGCGCTGTGAATTGTGCAGGACTGTTGAGTCTCAGATCTGTACCTCTGAGAC